GGGCACCCGTCAGACTGCCAGTACGTCTTCTGCAGCAAAGAACGGGTCGGAAATGAGTTCTGTACTCTCAAAAAAAGCTTTCAGGATGGAAGGAAGAGGAGACGAAGGGGTTGCGATTTCTTTGATATCACTTTCCCGCCTATAAAAATAACGAAATTGCCCCTTTTCCTGATTTCAGCGCTGTTTTCACGTGTTATAGGTGTGTAGGTCGATCCCCAATGGTCGATTTAGCGCGCTCTTTTTCGACACACACGGCTTCGAGACACCTAACGGCTTGTATTGGAAGTGGTTTCGCGGGCCCCGTTGTTGTGCCATACAACATTTGTAAGGCTCCTTCAAAATAATTACCAAATTGCCCCCTTGAGGAAGGGTACCCTTCGGTACCGGAATGTACCGTTATGGGATTATTGGCCATATTTGGATCAAGGATCAGACTGACGTGGCTGAGGTAGGTATACTGAGACGGGGCTGCGATAAAGGGAGGAACAGGGTGGCAAAGTAATCAGTACGAACGCTGGGCTGCTGCCGCTATTCTTTTGTTACTACGTTACCGCTGCTTAAGTACTGATTTCTCGCGTCTCTTTGCTGCCACCTCTATCGTCTATGCCATATTACTGCGCGCTGCACTTGCCACTTCCGGTGCTTTGCTAATTGAAGCAGAGCTCGGGCTTGTCGCTATGTTCATTGCTTGCATGCTGCCACTCTATCTATGCCGCTGATAGAGCTGGTCAAGGTCGCGACCTTTCCTTCGAGTAGAGGATTGCATTCGCCCACATTGCATTGCCGCTGCCGCGTATGCCCTTTCGCCTCCATAGCGAAAGGTCCTGCGTATTCAGGTACGTTGACATGTTCTTGTACGTCGACATGTTCTTGAGTGCAAGTCGATTCGCACGTGTACCTTCATTTACAGAAACCCGATCACTGATCCAATCAGGATATCTGGTTTCACAACCGTAGACTGTGTCAATACTGTAGTGGGGGAATAGTTTTCCCGACGACTACAGTATCACATCTATGATCACGCAGGTCCGTGCGCGGATGGGCGAATCACCCCACGGTTCTGCCACCCTTCAGCCTCACGAAGCACTGTTTCTATATCTCGGAGCGCGGGCAAGGCGGGAGGGTGGCCTCCGGCAAGACGTCCTTCAAGAAGGGCAGTTCGTCGAGCTCCGACGGGCCGTCGCACCTCCTGTTGAACGCGCCGGTGAGCACGACGCCGGGGGGCTCGGTAGTCTCCAGGGCGGGGCGGGCGCACGCGACGCCGGTGCCAAAGGCCGGGAGCATGGGCGGGAAGGTCTTAAGACAGGCGTACAGGGAGCAGTGCTGCGGGCACGGGATGAGGTTGACTTGGGGCTGCTGGCGGATCGGGAAGTAGCACTGGTCCGGGCACGGCGGGGCGGGGGACGGGCACGGCGGGAGCGGGCCCTCCGGCAGGCGCTCCGACAGGAAGGGCAGGGCGGAGACCGGGCGCGTGCAGGTGGCGATGGAGGCGACGGGCGGCGGGTCGGCCGGCGGGGACTCGGTCGGCAGGCCGGGCTCGGCGCAGGCGACGCCGATGCCGAAGGCGGGCAGGTTCGGGCCGAAGGTCTTCAGGCACGAGTACAGCTGGCACGGCGGCGGGCACGGGACGCGTGTGAGGGCGGCGTCCGGGTCCAGGTCGTTGAAGTAGCACTTGCGCGGGCAGGAGGCGAGGGAGAGGGCGGGGTGCAGCACGGCGAGGAAGGAGATGACGGACAGGAAGGAGAGTGGGTTCATGTTGCGAGGAGGAGGTTCTGGGGTGTGGTGTCTCTTCCCTCGGGGCGGGTGGAAATGGAAGGTGTTGGGGGGGGGGGGGGGGGGTTTTATATGTTTGTGGTCAGGGCGGCGGCGAACAGGGTAGATGTGTGTGAGATGGGGTGACATGAAGCGGGATTATGTGAAGTGGTGGGAGGGGATTTGGTGTTTGGTGTCCAAGGTGTTGAAAGGATGGAGGTTGATGAGTGGGGTTTCTGGAGGGGTGGCCTTGTTGTGACGGATGCTAGATGGTGAGGCTTGTCAAGAAATATTGAGGCGAGGAAATATTTTTGATCTGGGTGGTTTGTAGAGGAACATTTGGTAGACAAAAAAAATCAGGGGCGGCTTCAAGGACTCACGCTTGGGTAGGAGGTGCGTTGTGTAGTTTTAGGTGAAAGACAAAAAAATATATGCAGCCACATGCGAGGAATTCAAGAAGTCTTGAACTCGCGACCTTAGGATTGCTGATCGTTTGATATCATTATGAGACCTACGCTCTGCCGACTGAGCTAATGTGACTGGATCGCTGTACTGCTTGTTGCTTTATGGAGATTCGGATTTGTATTTATAACACATAAAGAACGCATAAATTGAACAGCTAATAACATTGCGCCAAGTGGCGATAGCACAGTGCACGATGTGCAGTGCCTGGCGACGAGGCACGGCGCGTAGTGATACAGTATCTTTGCTGTAAAGTTGACGTGCTGTCGTGCTGTATGGCCACCGCCTTAGGCAGTCTCCGCCTCAGGCAGTGGCCATACAGCACGTAAATTCTTATATAAACCCTCCCGACCATCTTGTCACCGCTCGTCGCCTTCCTACACCGAGCACGCCGCCGCTTTCTACGGAAACAACGCACGCAACGACTCGGGACATGTGAGTGTTCCACGAGTTTTCACATCCGCCTGATTACGGTACGGCAGTGCCGGATCGACCCGTCTTGAAGGAAAGCGAAGTGGGGTTTCCGCTCTCTCATCAGCACAAACGAGTCTCATACTGCACGGTTCACACCGGTTTGCGTCATGGACGCCCCTATCACTTCATCTACCCAGAGTCCATCAACGGATCCAAGCACCACAAGATCTGCCACCTATGCCGCTAAAGCAATTCCCCGCCGTCCTGCGGACTCGCCTACAACCATGCCATACACGCTCACCGCCCTAACTGGCCGGCCCTCTTGCCCCTCCATCCCAACCTCCCCGCCACGCCCTCCCCCATAAACCTCCTTCCCAACCTCCCCACTACACCCACCCCCACCGCCCCATCCTCCCCCCTCCCGAGCCCAATCCGCCCGTCCCCGCCATGCCTCTGCGCCCCCTTCTCCTCCCGCTCCTGCTGCTCTCCCTCCTCGCCGCGGCCTCCGCGTCCGTGCCGCCGGCCCTTTCCCGCGTGCGCCGCCTGCAGTCCGAGCTGTCCTCCTCCGACCTCGCGCTACGCTGCCGCCTCTCGCGCGCGCGTCACATCGCGTCCCTGGAGCGTTCCGTCGCGGCCGCCGTCGCCTGCCGCCGCGTCTGCCTCCGCCTCCCGTCGCGCCGCCTCGCGTCGCGCAGCCTGCGCCGCCGCCCCTGCGCCGCCAAGCCCCCGCAGCAGCGCCGCATGG